GGGTGAAGGGGGGGGCAGCATGGGAAGGGTGCATCCTGGTGCCCAGAAGAACCCAGTGGAAGGTGACAGGTCAGGAAGGACAAGTCAGAGAGGTGGACAGAGCAGGAGGCATGGGGAGGGAATGCTGGGGTCTCAGTGGTGTCAGGAAATGGGTCTGATCAGGGCGGTGTGGGAGATTGAAGGGTAATCCTTTTGGGAGGGAAAATATGCAAGAGTGTAATGAGGAAGGAATCTAGATTCGCTGACCTTGCCAGGCAGGGCCAACCTGAGCCTCCCCAAGGGCAGGCCCAGAAGCATGCCCCCATACTGTAAAAGCCTGGGGGACAGATTTCCTTCTGTGTGGGGTCAGAACTGTCACCAGCACCAGTAGCTGGTTGGCATTTGGGTCCCTGTGGAAAGCTCAAAGGGTGGTGGGAGCCAGACCCCAGGCCAGGATGCAGGTAGGGGCCAGCCCGAATGAGGGGTGCTCAGAGGCAGGCAGGAAGGATGACTGGGTAGTGGAGGGGCCTGGCAATGGCCCTGTTCACTGCCCACCTCTGCTTCCCTGTCTGGACTGGCAGCTTCTGGGGTAGCTTGCCGGTTGGAGAGGGGGCAGGGCACCATGCTATCACACCCAGGCTTTGATGGCTGGGTGAGGAAGGCGTCCTCAGCATCAAGGCTGACAGATTCACCTGGCAAAAGTGGGTGGAGGGGAAGCTAGGGACTGCACACGGGCACTGGAAGAGTCTTAGGATGCAAACAGCAACCTTGTTGGGCCACCAGTCACGAAGAAAGGGACCCACAGGTGCTGGGAGAGACCTCTAGCCACAGCCAGCACACAGGACTTGGCAGAGGAGGAAGGAAGTGGGGGTGGGTGGGCTGGCTGCTCCACTGGATGCAGTGGGTGCTGCGAATTGAGCCTGGGACCTGGGCCACCAATAAACATTTATCTCAGCATGCAGGTGTCAGCTCTCTGTCTTTACCAGGGTTGGGAGCAGGGAGCTCTTCGATGGACCTTAGAAGGGATAAGAGGGCAAAACCTAGGTCCTGTCCCCTTTACAGAACCAGTGCACCAACATGTGGGGAACCCTACACCTGGGAGCTCTGTCCTGTTTGCTTCCTGTAGAAGTGGTCAGGCTGCCATTCCTGCCCTACAAGTCCCAGTGCACCTGATGGGAACCCTGAGGGGAGCTCTGAGCTTCCCGTGAGCAGTGGCTAGGCTGGCCTGAACCTGGGGCGATGGAGAGTTTCAGGCTGGTGTGAGATAAGGGACGAGTCTGACCAGGGTCTGGAAGACCAACCTGGGTCTGGGATATAGCCACCTCTGAAACCAGACCTTCAGGCCTCAGCCTTGAAGCCAGAGAAGTAGACAAGCAGACCCTGTCCGCGCTGCCACATTGCCAGAGTGGTACATTTCACGTACAGTGTGCTGCGGACTCACCAAACTGTGCGGCCTAGGGTGCTGACCCTTCATCCAAAAACACCTTCTCATACTTCCCATGGCCAGTGGCCACAAACTTGTACCTCTTCCCAGATGGGGTGCTCTGTCGGGGAGGAGACCAAGAGTCAAGGAGAGAGCCTTGAAAAGGTGAAGCAGCTGCCTCTGGGAAAGCCCTCTCAGCTGAAAGGGCCCCTTCCTCTTTATCACCTCCAGCCTGCACCAATTACACCAAGACCCACCTTGACTGTAGATGATGTCTTAGAGTCTCCTTTCTTTTCCCAGAGGCTCTTCTTGCTCAGGTCTCCAGAGACAATATCCTGGGGGCAAAAGAGGGAGCTGTCACTGGGCTGGAAGCCCTCGACTCTTCTCTTTAGCCTGGCCTTCCCTGACCAAGGGTCTGGGGATCTTTCCACCCTGCCTCTGAGAGTGAGACCTTGGAAGCAGAGGCAGAAAAGGAGAAAAGGCACCATGTACTGTCACCGGCCATCGTAGACTTCACACAGCCCTTCGGAGTGACCTCTCTACACATCCCAGCGTGGGTGTCCATCCATGCTTCGTCCTGGATGGTCTAGCGCTTGCTTTCTCAAGGGATCCTCCCAGGCTTTGACTACCCAGCCCAGCCCTTCCCAAAGAAGGACCCTACCTTGCAGGAGGGGGTTTTGGTAACAGACTGAGTCTGCACCTCACCAGTCTCCCACCGACTCTTGGTATTGGCTACAGCCATGCTGGGCAGCTCTATGGAGGCCTGCCGGGATAGCTTGGGGGTCCGGCCAGCAGACTGCAGAGGAGAAAGAGCCCCAGGATAGCATTAGTCAACAGCCCTCATGAAGCATATCAGAGGACCCTAGGGAGCCTCTCTTTATCTTTATTTTCCCCGGGAGGGCTTTCCCATTGCAGGGCTAGAGCCAGGTACTCTGGAAAAAATGTGTTTTCCTTCATTCGGTGCACTTATGAAATACACCCTTATTGTGAAAAGCACATGTGACACGATGGCACACAGAACATGTGGGGTCTGTCTTAATGCTGCCCATGGCATGAGCCTGGGGCCCGGAGGTTAGATGGAGGGCATTAACTGGAATTCTGGTGGATGGAGGAGCATGGGGGAGGGTATTGGTTGAATAGAGGGATTTTTTTTGGTTGGAGGCTTGTGGGTTTGATGAATAGAAGGACATTGATGGGATAGGAGAACACTGGATGGGTAGAAGAGTGCTGGTTGAATGGAGAGGTGTGGGTTAGAGGAAGGAAGAATGTGGGAATGGGCAGAAGCTAATGAGATGATAGTGCTAGTTTGGTGAAGGAGCAGTGTACCAATGGAGAGGGGTTGGCTGGCTGGAGGGACACTGGTAGGATGGCAGGGTGCATGCTGGCTGAGGGATACTGGCTGGCTGGGTGGTGATGATTAGATGCAGGGAGTGTTGGTTGGTGGAGAAATGGTGCATGAATGGAGGAGGGATCTGGCAGAGGGCTTGAGCATATACCTCAATGGCCTGGGTGTACTGTTCCAGCCTCTCGTCAATCTTGGAGATAGGCAGTGCTGGCTGGGACTTCTTCACACTGTTACTGGAGAGTGGCAGTGTTGAGCCTCATCCCCCTGCCCCCCCAACTCCTAGGGCCCTCCAAGATCCCCGCTCCACCCTCCAGGTCACTTTCTTCAACCCCCTCAGGGAGGGTCTCGGAGAGCAGACAGACATACCTCCTCTCTATGGAGCGGTTCAGGGACTCTGTCCTATCCGCAAGCTGTGGGGTTGGGCAGAAATGTGGGCCTTGGGCAGCCAAAGTGAGGGGCACACACCATCCCCTAGCAACCCCAGCCGTTAATCCCACCACCCACTTCCATGTCAGCAGGTTTTACTGAGTGCTGGCCACGAGCAAGGGGCAGGGGAAAGCAGATAGTGTGTGGAGCAAGAGCCTGGGGAGGCAGAACAGGAACCGTTGGGCTTGACCTACTTTGGCGGTGGGGCTCAGGGGAGGTGAGCGCAGTTCAGTTGTCCCCTCCAAGATCAAGGGACTGGGGGTCCTGGGTGGCAGACATTGCTGCTGCTGGGGACACAAAACCTAGGTGACCCATTGACCCCTCCTGGCAACCCCCCTGCCCCTCCTAGGGCGCCTTGCAGCACACCCTTTCCCCTCCCTGGGCCACAGGCCCTGTCTGGCCCTGACACGCTCCAGCCCCGGAATTTTCCCGCCAGAGAAATGTCTCCTGACCAGGGAGGAACTTGCCCCGAGGGTCACCAAGCTCACTCCCTCCACCCTCCGAGAATGTAGGCCTGAGAGGGAAGGTCTAGGGCAGAGGCACTGGGCCAGTCCACAAGCCCTGCACCATGGTGCAGAAAGCAAAGACAGTCCCAAGTCAGGGAGAGAGCAGAGTGCTCACCTCTTCTTTTGCCTCTCCAGTCTCTGCAGCTCCCAACTGATCCTGGACAGGTTCCTCCTCTGGGCCCGGTCCCTCCTGGCCCAGACACAGTCCCTCCAGGTGGGCTTCTGTGTGACAAAATCCACCACCGCCGATGTCATTTTCACAGGGCCTACTGGGTAGAAAGGGAGGCAAAGCCAATTGCGAGCCATTTGATTGCTTGGTTCCAGTCTGTTCCTAGTTCCAAGCCTCAGTCTCCCCATCTGTAAAATAGGGGCAGTCAGACAGTTGAATGCTGAGGACTTCTGAGACCCCAGCTTCTTTGGGGAAGGAGGCCCAGCACCCTTACAAGCAGCTGGGTTTCCTAAAGCCTCTGTGTTGAGGCCCAGGGGTTCATTTAAGAACAGCAGCCCTGCATGATTCCTGCTGTGCAGAGCTACCCTGGAGCTGAGGCAGGGCCCCTCCCAGAAGCCCCCTGTCCAGGCAGGGCCAGCTTCAAAGGGGTTGTACATGACCTTCCCACTGGCTTGGGCTGCCCTATTTCAGCTGTAGGTAGTCAAGCAGATCAGTGGAGCAGGATGTTGAGAGAGGGAAGGTGGGGTGCAGGAGTGTTTTTGGGGGGCTGGGTCAGCTAGGGCAGGGACACATCACTGAGGAGAGGGGCCACAGGGGAGGAGAGGCAGCCAGCTGGCAGCTGGGCGTGGCTCTGCACTTGAGCGGGACTAAACCTGGAGAAGAAGATGGTAAATTCTTGCATTTTCCATGATTTCAGGCCCCTTGGCGGACCTGCCAGCCAAGACCCAGACCCACCGACCAAGGTGGGCCAGGTCCCAGCCAGCGGCAGGCAGCCGCACAGAGGGGCCATTCAGGAGTTGGCGGTCTGTGAGCCGACAGTCAGGTGCGGGGGTGGGGTGGGGCTCAGAGCCCTCCACAGTAGAGCAAAAGTGCCCCCTGCTGTTGGGCGAGAGAAGGCAGCGAGCCAGCAGGGAAGACTACAGCTGCCCCATCTCAGAGACAGCTTGTGCAGGGGCACAGGGAGGGGGAATGGGAAACTGAGGCCAGCAGTGGGCAGGCCAGAACCAAGGCCAGGATAGGCAGATGGCTCTCGGGGTGTGGGAGCCTGGTTGTAGGCTGAAAATGAGGTGGTCGTGACATGGGAGAGGGCTGAACCAGAGTCCCGGCTGATCTAAGGGCCTCAGAGGGGCCAGGTTGGGGAGCATAGGCAGCCCCCTCAAGCTTGGAGCTCTCAACCAGGACTGGGGACCCATACCCCAGGCCTAAAGGGGCTGGATGGGGTTGTCTTCACATGTGGCCCATGAGTTACTAAGAGCAGCTCAGACTCTGAACTGGGGAAGGGCAAGGTGAGGCTCAGGAGCAGCCCCCATCCAGACCCGGGGTTTCTCTGGCCCCCACCCATCCTGATTCAGACAGGCAAACACATCCACACATCTGGAACGTGTGCCCCCCCAGGCAGCCTCGAAGGCACACATCTGGAAATACCTGCTCCCCTTCGTGGGAATGGAGATCAGCCAGCCCCCAGGGAGGGGGGTGAGGGCTGCATAGCCTGCATTACATCAGTGGGCTGCAGCTGTGTGCTGATGTGGCAAACCCCCCCACCAATCCCCGCCGGCCGCAGCTGGTCTGGATGGGGCCCAGGGACCCTAGGGAGCCCAGGAATGAAATTTCCTCACCGCCCCCTCCCTGCAGCCCCTCGTAGGCCTCTCTACGTCTCGCTCCCTTCCTCCCTTCTCCCCCTTTTGCAGCCATGAGGCTTTGCGGGGGCTGGTTGGGAAGGGAGAGCAGAGGCTGCTACTTGGATACAGGTAGGGTCTCAAGGATCCTGGGAGCCCTGCCCAGCAGCCCAACCTCCAGGTCTTGACCCTACTTGCCTGTCTTCCTCTTGCTCCCCCTCTGGACACTTGCCCCAAGGGGGTTTGCAGCTGTCCACAGACCCTTCAGTCCCCCAAGACTGCTGCTGCTGCTGCTGCTGCTGCTGCTGCTGCTCTGGCTTCTGTGACCAGTCACCAAAGCCCTCATCTTCATCCAGTTCAGGGGTCTCTGAAGGTTTCAGGCTGAGGGTGAAAGAGCAGTGGAGCGGCCTTAGGGCTGATTCTTGGCGTGCTTCAACCCTAGCTGCTTACCCCTCCCTCGTCTTCCCCCTCAGACCCTGGGCTCCGTGTGTAGGAGACCCTAACTGCCTCACAAACGGCCCCCATAGCTAAGCTGTGTGTAGTCGGAGAATCTCTGAGAGCAGGGCTGTACCCACCCACCAGTCTGGGGCTCCCAGAGGACAGGGCTTTGCCTCTCCCTTTAGTCCAGGGCTTCCAGAGGCTGCCCCAAGCCCAGGCTTATTCCGAGTGGCTTTTCACAGGCCCTCCTGAGCAGCAGGGAAAGCTACTCGGTAGCAGCGGCAAGGAAGGGCTCCCGGGCTCAGGAGTGACAAAAGACCCGGCCAAGGGGCCGTGACCGCTGTAGCACCTCACCCCACCCAAATATGCTGACTCAGAGAAAATGGAACCAAGCAGGGCCAGGAGGAAGGGGCGCATTATTGGAGAAACAGCCCAGCCCAGCCGTGGGGGCCTCCTGGGCCCAGGAAGGAAACGAGCCGGCCAGTGGCTGCCAACTTGGACGTGGCCTCTGTGAGTCACCGGCAGCAGGGAGCTTGGGCGGGGGTCAGGGGCCAGGGCTGCATGGCTGGGGTCAGCATCAGTCCAAGAAAGGGCTGGGACCATGCAGGGTGTCCAGAGCCTGAGTCAGAGCCCCCAGAAGGCTGATGGGAGGGGGACGGCTTCACGTGGCGCTGTGGACCCTCTGGCCAGTCAGGGTCTAGGAGATAGGGTGGCCCAAGGCTGCCAGCTACCCTTGCCCCAAGAGCACTGCCCTTTCTGAGATTCTTCTTGTACCGGGACCCCAAAGTCCAGGGTCTGACCACCAGCACATTCCTCTGCATAGGCTGTGGGATTCCAGGATCCAGGGCCCTGAGTGGCTTACAGTGCCTCCTGCTCTGGCCGACCCAGGGAATGGCCACCTTCATCCTGGTCTTGAGCCTGTAGCAGCTGCCTGTCTCGTTCCCGCCGGCGCTGCTCTCGGGCCACTTCTTTTTCATCCTCCACACTCCACTGAGTGGTGAGCCTGGAGAACAGAAAGATAGTCACAGCATAGCCAAGACGGGGTGCCTCATGGTGAAGGTGGTGGATAAACCCAGGATCTGGACCAGCACTTTAAGCTTCAGTTTACCAATCTTTAAAATAGAGGTCATGCAAAGCAGTTATAAAGGTGGAGGACCCAGGACTTTCCTGGAGATGGAGGGGCACTGGAGACCATCTGTCTACTTCCACCAGCCTGTCCTTGGACCTCACCAGAGGCACGATCTAGAACAGTGTGACTTGGGCTCTGGGGGGGGGGCGGAAATCTAGGAAGGTAGGTGGAGTCCAGCTAGTGCTGGCTATAGCCACTTGAGACCACAAGCCTTGGCCAGCAGCACTGACAAGTGACCATCTAGGGCCAGCCCTACCCTACTGGACTGTAGTACTCCATCCATATTGTGAGAAAGTGACCCTTGTCTGGGGGTCTAGGGTAAGGAGGGCCTGAGCCTAGCCAGCCAGGCAGGGCACCCCCTGTCCCGCCTCCAGTCCTCATACTCTCCCCACCTTGTATATGTCCAGCCCATTGCTGGGGGCTTTGCATGGCATCCCAACTTCATCTCAGGGCCCTCTGTGGAGTTTCTCTGAACTATAACCCAAGGTAAGGAAACTAAGGTGGGGAGGGCTGCTGCCCTCAGAGCACCAGGCTTCTAGGGGTATCTAGGGAAAGACAGAATAGCCTGGGCCCAGAATCAGGGGTCCCTGAAGAGCAGATCTCCGGTCACCGGTGTCCAGCAGGAACTATAGGCTTTGGCCATCCTGAGTCCCCTCCTAGTTTGCCTGGAGCTGAAAAGGGGAGTCCAATGTCTCTGCTTCTCTAGGGCTCACTGCCCCAGGCCGAGGGAGCCAGGCTAGAGCTGGTTTGGGGCTGGGTCTCCTTCCTGGGGTCTCCGTCCCTCCTGCCAGTGTCCGCCACATGACCCCACAGCCCACTCCCCTCTGGGCCTCAGTCCCCTGGCCAGGCAGCCTTGCCAGCGCATGATCTAATCTCACCAGGTCTCCCCTAAGCCTCTCAGACGAAAGCCAGGCCTCTCCACAGGCTCCAGTGCGGGGCCTGCTCCCCCCGCTGCAGCCACATGGGACTCCAGCGCAACCTGCCCACCCGCTCATGCTCTGCACCCCAAGCCGCCTGCTTCTTCCTCAGAAGGGCCTTCAACTTCCAGCCCCAGGAAGCCCTTAATTCCCCACACCTGGCTCCCATCACCCAGCAGATGCAGCCAGCCTCCCAGCCTCACAGCCAACAGGCGCTGCTGGACATATTCATCTGGGGGCTGTTGGCTGAGGCTGTGACCCAGGTTATTCTCCCGTGCCCTTGCACACCGGCAGCCCCCAAGATGGATGACAGCACAGCAGGATGGGCAGGAGGTTCTCCTACCACTTCTGGGGCAACCTCTGGGGAGAGACCAGTGGGGCATGGGTTTTATTCCCACTTCCAGGTTTCTGGGCAGTGCAGGCAGGCTTGGGTGCGCTGTGCATGTGGCAGCTCTTGACAACGACAATGATGATGATGATGATGATGACGATGATGATGATGATGACGATGATGATGATGATGGTGGTGGGGCGTGTGTGTGTGTGTGTGTGTGTG